GCACAGCAGGCATGGCATATTCTCGACACCATAGGGGGTGCGCAAGGGGTGGTCTCTCACCGCGGCCGCTATCCGTGACGGTCGTCAGGGCACAGCAGGCATGGCATATTCTGGCAGCGACACCATAGGGGGTGCGCAGGGGGTGGTCTCTCACCGCGGCCGCTATCCGTGACGGTCGTCCAGGGCACAGCAGGCATGGCATATTCTCGACACCATAGGGGGTGCGCAGGGGGTGGTCTCTCACCGCGGCCGCTATCCGTGACGGTCGTCCAGGGCACAGCAGGCATGGCATATTCTCGACACCATAGGGGGTGCGCAGGGGGTGGTCTCTCACCGCGGCCGCTATCCGTGACGGTCGTCCAGGGCACAGCAGGCATGGCATATTCTCGACACCATATAGGGGGTGCGCAGGGGGTGGTCTCTCACCGCGGCCGCTATCCGTGACGGTCGCCCAAGGCACAGCAGGCATGGCATATTCTCGACACCATAGGGGGTGCGCAGGGGGTGGTCTCTCACCGCGGCCGCTATCCGTGACGTTTGTCCAGGGCACAGCAGGCATGGCACATTCTCGACACCATAGGGGGTGCGTAGGGGGTGGTCTCTCAGCGCGGCCGCTATCGGTGACGGTCGTCCAGGGCACAGCAGGCATGGCATATTCTCGACACCATAAGGGGGTGCGCAGGGGGTGGTCTCTCACCGCGGCCGCTATCCGTGACGGTCGTCCAGGGCACAGCGGTATCGGCGGGGCAACGGCCACCAACATCATTCTCACATGCTTCACTTCAGCTCTCATCATTCCAGCCATAATATAAGTATGTGGGGGTCCTCGGTAGCGTAATTTGGTCCTGATCGACCTTCCACTTGAAAACCCACGTGGGCACCTGGTCTGGGGTCAGGTTCTGCCCGTCCCACCCCATGGCGCTCATCCAGCTACTGAGGGCGCCGTTGGGGCGCAGCCCTTCCTGGGCAATAAGCGCTTTGCGCAGGAGGTGCCCTGGCCCGAGTTCCCTGAACTTCCTGCTCCACCCACGCCACCAGGCCTTCACGGCCGCCGACAAAGCATGCCTACCAAAGTGCACCAACAACTGGTTCCTGGGCGGGGACGCCACGGAGTCCGGAACAGGGGCCTTAATCGGCAGAGGGTCTTCATCTCGATGAATATTCCTCACGCGCACATGCCAAATTGCAACGCCGCGTGTCGTTTGTCTGATCTTTGCGAGGGGGGCTGCTGCCGCGTCTTCCTGCACCCAGACTACCGGGCCCACTCTTTGACTTGCACCCGTTCCACGCAGCGTGAGGGCGTGATGCGCCCTCCCCGGGAAAAGACGATGCCTGTCTCGTCGGGCCCCGCCTGTCAGGAGAGGCTAAGTCCATACGGAGTAAGTCCATCTACAGAAAACTCGGCCCCCGTCTGGGCTTACTCCGTCTGGACTCAGCCTCTCCCACGGCGCCTCTTGCGGGCCGCTGCCCCTCTCCCCCTCCCCCCCCCTTCCGCGCCTTCAGCTTGCCGAGCGCGGCCTGGGCGGGCCACCCCCGCCCAGGCCCCGGCGGAACGCCGAGGGGAGGGAGAGGGCCAGGGGGTGGAGGGGAGGGGGGTAGCTGCGCCCAGGTGGCAGGAAGGGGAGGCGATAGGGGGGAGTGGAGGAGGAGGGGAGGGGAGGGGGGGGGAAAAGAGCGGGGGGGGAGGGGAGAGGGCCAGGGAGCGCTGCGGGGGGAAGGGTAAAGGAGGAGGGTCCCTGCACACTCGCAGCAGCACTCAAACGCCGCATTGGACCAAGACGTGTTAGAAACAGCACCCCAGAAAAAGGGTAGCCAATTGCGCCACTGGAGCCCAACCACATGCCTTAGGCAAGCCTGGAGGCGCGCGAGGGCCAACCTGCAACAGGTGAGCCAACACGCGAAACCCTGGCCTGTGATGGGAGACGGGATGGGGACTGGGATGGGGGCGAAGGGGACGGGGTGCTCCTCCTCCTCCTCCTCCTCCTCCTCCTCCTCCTCCTCCTCCTCCCCCTCCTCCTCTCACCCCTCTGACCGCTCCTCCTCGTCCCCTTCGTCCTGCGAGGGCAGCGGAGGGCCTTCTCCTGAGGCCCTGAGGCAAAGACGGCATGAAAATCCGTCGAACGTTGCCATCCCCCCCCGGGGCCGGTCGCCGGTCGGCCCTGGGGGGGTGATAAAACTGGAAGCCAGGCGACTCCTCGAGCCTTCGATCCAGGAGTTGCCAGCCAGTTTGGATTCTGCACAAGGTACAGACACAAAAGACAGGGCCTCCCTCCTCCTCCTTCTCCTCCTCCTCCTCCTTCCTCCTCCTCCTCCTCCTCCTCCGTCGGGGTCCTCTGCTTAGCGCCGCCGAGGGGTGGGTGGGTCCGCGTCCTGGAACCCTCCTGGGCACCACCCCGGCCAGCCGTTCGAGCCGCGCCTGGGCGTGGCCGCCCGCAGGGGCCCTGAGGCCGCAGGGCCCGGGAGGGCAGAAGCGCAGCCATGACTCGCAGCTCGGCGCAGCTGCCGCGGCAACTGCTTTCGGGGCCGCCTCCTCGGGCCAGCATCGTTCGCCATGGGGGAAACGGGTCCTGAAGGAAACGGGTCCTGATGTCTTTCGCCGTTTTTGGCTTCCCCGGGGCCCTCCACGGGCCCCGGGACTGTCAGAAAAAGACTCGGGATGAAAAGCTTGTCCAGGGGGAAGGCACCAAGGTCCAGGACCCGTTTCCCGCAAGACCCGTTTCCCCCATGCTAACTTATATATCGTTGAATCGATCCCTCTCCCCTCTTGCGTGGCCTAGGCCCCACTGGCATATAGCCCCCTAGATGGGGATGGCTATTCCCTTCGGATTTCGAAGGGTCTCTCCCCAACTGGGGCGGTGTGTTGGTGGAGCTGAGATACCATGGCCCGTTGGGGATGGGGATAGGTTAAACGAGTCTGGAACGTAACAGACGCGGATACGTGAATCCCGTCAATGTGGCACAACCGTGATCCAGATCATCACGCTGCTCGCGAAGGTCTACACGGTCTGAGAGCGCGCAGGAATGCATGGAAGCTGGGCAAGAATGTGTTCTTGCCTCTGAGTGCCGCGCTTTGCTAGTAAGGATGGGGCCACTCGGTGCGCGCTGCACTGCGATGGCGGCTGATGCCCCTGTTTCCCTGTTGTGTGCTCACCGCTTTCTTTTCGGGACCTGGGCCCTGGACCCAGACCTACCCATGCTCCATGCTGCGTGCTTCCCCGCGGCCGTCCTCCTCTGCGCCTCTCCGTTTGGCGCATGCAACTCGCGATTTCCGGGGCCCGGCCTGCCGCTGCGACCGTGCTGGGCTCCCGCCGGCGCTGCGACTGATGAAAGGCTCCGGATTGCCCCCAATCGCTGATGCGTGGGCGTGGGCGATAGGGCGCTATCCTCCGACCCAACTCACTCAGCGAAACAACACAAGACTGCGTAAGCATAATTTCGCGGAGGTCCGCGCGGACCTCTTGGATCAGCGCTGGACCCCCCTCCTGGGCGCGCGGAGCGGGCCAGTGGCGGCGCCGGAGGCGCAATCAGCGGGGCACGGGCGCCGACACAAGACATCCGCGCGGAGTGCCGAGAATTTATGTTCATGTAATTGTTTTTTCTTCGATTGCTGTAACCCTGTCTGGGCTCCCTGGAGCAGCAGCGCTGCAACACAGCCTGGCGACCGCGCGGACCACGCAGGTCAGAGCGGGTTTGGCTACATTGCGAGGAAAACGACCCTACCCCACATGTGGAAACCCTCACTTCCACATTGGAGCCGAACAATACCAGACTACCTGTGGGGTGTCCTGCCATCGGGGACGCCTGCCCCCGGCGGCTGGATGTTTGATACCCACGCGGGCTGCTGCGGGGGGGTCAGCTCTCCAGCCGCACAGAGACAGTCGCCCCCCCCTCGGCTGAACGGCCCTTACGTCATGCCCCGCTTCGTCCGCTCAGATCCCGCACTGCCCCCCCCCGCTCCAGTTCCCTCCGTCCGTCGGGTGCTGCTGCTATTGGCGTCCATGGCCGCTGGCCCAAGGTGCCCACAGCTGTTTGGTTCACCTTGGAGCGCCCTGGGGCCATCTGGGCCTCGTGAAGGGCGCTTCTCGAAGGCCGAGGGTTCCCCCCCAGAGTAGCAGACAAATTGCATCAACATCATTTCTTAGATACCTGCGCGGATTTCTTGGATCGGCGCTGGACCCCGATCCCTGGCGCGCGGAGCGCGCCAAGGCGGCCCAAAGGCGGTGCCAGGGGCGGCGTCAGGGGCGGCGCCAGAGGCGCCGCCAGGGGGGCCCAAATGATATATTTTCTTTCAGTGAGGGGTGCTCTGGAGGCTGCGGGGTCCCCTGTCGTGTGAATTAAGCAAGACAACCGCTGTGAAGCTGGACTTTTGTTTCACATTGCAGATGCACTGAAGCCGATGTGCCGTCATGGCACGGCATGTTCGATTCGATCGAGGCCCTCTGGGCCTCGTGAGGGGTGCTCTGGACGACTTGGAGCCCCCTGGGAAATCCTGGGGTCACCCTCGGGCAGGCACGATTTCGGCGACTCCGAAAGGTGTGGTTTGCCACGGGTGTGGTTTGCAACGCGCTCCCTGGGGGGCGGGCGAGGACCTCGACAGAGCTCTCCGCCGGAACCCAGAGGTCCGCGGCGTGAACGTGGTACCCCCAAAGCCCCAACAGCGCAGATCACAAACCAAACCCCGGCGTACACCACACCCTCTCTGCATTGAGCAGGGACCGACCGTCCCGGCATTCCTATAGGCCTCCCACGACATGTTCTTAGAATCCACAACATGTTCTAAAAACCAAACAGTGTCCGTAGAGCATGGGCCCGATGTGGTAAAACATAATATCCGCCAGAAATGTGCCTAGAACATGTCGCGCAGACCACAAAAGGTTCTGAGAACATTCTTTGGTGGGCGTATAGGCACGCCAGGACGCAGCGCCACTGCTCGTCTGTAATCGCTGACGCTTCCTGGCAACATCCGCCGTCCGGCGGTCCACTGCCGCTGCCGCGCCCTCCTTGGCCGCCGCAGCGCTCGGGGCGGCTCGTGGGCGCCTGCATGAGGGCCATCTGCAGCCAGTCCACGCGCGTCTCTGGCTGGGGCCGGCGTGGCGTGCCAGCGGGCACGAAGGCACAGGTGCGGCAGGGTAGCATCGTGACGACCCCCGCGTTGGTTTTTGACACCGCGTGGATCGTTCATTTTTAGAAAGGACTGGCGGCTTTTCGATCGCCAGATCATTCCATGATGGCCGACTCTGGGCCGCTGGCGGCGTTCAGCCTTGAACGCCCGCGTTGAGGTCGCCGCCGGGACGCGAGGGAATGTAGTTTTGTTTTTTTTCCATAAATAGCAGCCACCATCAGACCCTCCAACGGGAGGACCCCCCGATAGTGCCGATCGGTCTACTTTTCCCATGAATGTCAATCGGAGCTCTGTGTTGGCCTGGAGATCGCGTGCCTAGTCCTCCGACGAGCCACGGACGAAACATTGAAACGAGCCGCAAGAGGGCTCCAAAACTGCCCCAAAAAACTCCACGGAGACCCCAAGAAATCTCCTAAAATGGCCTTAGTCGTCCTACAACGTGTGTCCAAACCCGAGTTTTCATCCTCCTTGTCATCGTCCGTTCCTTCCCTCATCTTTTCATGTCTCCTCCCTGCTCCTCCTCCTCATCTTCGTCGCGTCGCATTTCTCCCCCTCCTCCTCCACCACCTCTTCTTCCCTCCTCCTCCTCCTCCTCCTCCTTCTTCGCGGTTGGTCCCCCTCCCCCATCCACCTCCTTCTCCTCTTGCCTACCCCCAAGATGGTCCCAGGAGGTCGAACGTGGCCCGAGACAGCCTCCGACAGACCTCCAAGAGGCCTCAAGCCCGCCTCACGATGGCCCAAGATAGCCGACCATGGCTCAATATCGCCTCCGACAGCCTCTGGCCGAACGTGGATCAAGGTAACCTCAAAGAGGCCTCAAGGAAAGTATCAAATCGTGTCTGCATGGGCCAGGTGGGGATTTTTGGTCCGCGGGTGCACGAAACGAGTCGGGCGCCGAGCAAGCAGGGGCAAGTTACGCCACCTGCAAAAGCAAAAACAAGGCAGAGAGCAAAGCCCGGCGTGGGGCGAATCACTCAGAGTCGCACGTTGGCGAGGAGCACGGCAGGCAGAATATGTAGTGCCGAAGTAGCGCCCAGCCCGCGAAGTTGCCGCCTGCGGAGGCGTGACGATGGCGAGGGGCACGTAACCCGAGAACGAGAGCCAACCTTACCGAACTGGTAGAACTTGAAGCGTGCAAGAGAGCACCACGAGCGGGTAGGGAACGCAGCCAAAATGGCGTGAGAGAGAATGGCACCCGGGAGGCCAAAGTGTGCAGGTAGCGCAGGTAGACGAGCCAATCGCCCACCATGGAGGGCACCGCGCAACGAGCCGCCCGTGAAAAGCAGGGCGCGCGAGAAGACGCGGACGGCACGCGCCCCAAAACTGGTCGCACAGGTCGGACAACGGGCCAACCTACACGACCAGCGCCGAGCCCCCAGCGCGCGAGCCTGGAGACTGATGATGGCCGGCACGAGAGGGTCGTGCAATTGAGCGCCGCCCATCAGCAGGTAGCCCGAGGGTGGAGCGGCGGATGGCCAGGATGAGGCCGGCGCCCGCAATTGCACGCCAGGGAGACAGTGACGCCTTGGGCGAAGAGGGCCACTGGCAAGGATGGGGCACGTGAGCCCTTGCGGCCATCGCGCGGAGGAAAGGGCGACGGACGATGCCCCGGGCAGCTGGCGCCGCGCCGGCCGGATCATATCCACGGGAGGTTCATGTGAGGCAGCTGATCGCTGCAAACGCACAGGAAGCCTCGATGCCCCGTCACTGCGGGCGGGCACCGAGGAAGCGATTGCAGGAAGGCCCGGGAAAAGGGTGGTGGAAGTGGTGGGGGGAGGCAGCAGTGCGGGGCTATAGACGGCGTCTCTTGTCGGTGGCGGGTTCGTCTCAGCCGTGGTTGCGCTTGCCCTGTTTGCCACTGTGCGCCGAGGAGGCGTCGCGGCCCTGCCCCTTGCCTGGACGCCAGGCGTTGTCCCAGTCGTTCGTCGCGTGCTCCTGGCGCGCGTGCTCGGCTGAGAGAGTGGGCGCCGTGGCCTTCTGTCGCCGGGCAGCGAGGAATTCGTCGCAGGTGGCCCGGGACTGCAAGCGTGGGTCCTTTGGGGCGAAACCAAGGCGAATTGCTCGTCGCTCGGTCCAACTGGGCCAGTCCCTGTTGAATGTGGCGCCGAGCTCGGATTGCATCCTTTTGAAATGGCGGCTGCTCTCGGTCACGCCTTGTGCTTCCACCAAATGCGTGGGCGTCTTGTACATCTGACTGCCACCGTGGGTGCTGCAGTCGGTTGGCGTGAGTGGGTTGGCTGCCGCTTCGCGCCAGACCCTCGTGCCACCAACCAGCGGCTCTGCTGCTTGGAGCCGTGCGTGCTGCGCGGCCTTGTCCCTGGGATGCGTATTCCTGCGGCTTGTTGCCTGACCAACTTGACCCGCGCGCGCGCCCGTCATCGCGGGCATTCCAACTGGAGCCGTAGTTGGTCCACCTGCCGCTGCATGAGGAGTGTTCGATGTCGTCGATGCCGAGCATCTCTGCCGCCGTAGCGGCGGGGGCGGCGGCCCGGGCCACTGGTCGCCAGATAGCCTGCTGTCGTTGCGCCCATCGGCCTCCGCCCCCCTCCCGCCGCGGCGCGCCGCGCGAGCTGCGCTGTCACTGCTCCGTCGGGGCCAGCTCCACCGTGAAACCCTGGCGCCCGTGGGGGGCGATGCGGGGCCCAGCCGCGGCCTCCGAGTCGCGACGAGAGATTTGGAAGCGGCCCCCCGCGTCCGAGAGCACGGCCGCGCCAGGTTTGGATGCGCGCTGCCAGACCTCCCCCGCCAGCGCTATCGGCGCCAGAGGGCGGGGGCCGCGAGGGAGGCGCGGCGTCCCCGAAGTGGCCTCTGGACGCCTGCCGATGGATGTAGTCGGCGAGCCGCCTCCGCGCGGCTGCGCCTGGCGTTGCCCCGCGCCGCGGCTTCTGGGAGGTCGAGGGCACGGCCAACGACACGCCCCAGCATGCCCAGGCCAGAAGAGCTTGGACGGAGTGGCTGATGTTCCAGAAAACGGTCACTCCCGCTCTACCCGGAAAAAAGGCAAAGGAAAAACGCAACATGAACCGGGTAGCCAACATGGCTGCAAATTCTGCTGGGGAGCGCAGAGCCCTCTGGGACGAAGTGGTGCAGCTCACCAGTCGTGGTCAACGACGGCCTCGGCGTGCCCCCGACGAGGAGCAGCAGCACGAGGTCAAGAAGCAAGAGGTCATCGCGCTGGCGCGCCGGGGCCTCCCAGGGAAGGCCGTGCGACACGCCTCGAGCGAGGGCCTTGCGCCCGACACGGCGCAGACGGAGGCCACCATGAGGTCGAAGTTCCCCCCGGCACCGGGCCACCAGCGGGACTCCCGCCGCCCTTCCGCGCCGCCGGCCAACGAGATCACCGAAGAGGCGGTCGCAAAGGCCATCCACAGCTTCTCGAAGGGCGTTGCGCCGGGTCCATCCGGGCACCGTCCCGACTTCTACAAGCAGATTGTGGGCGAGAAGGGGGACAGGCCAGGTTGCGCGATCCTTGCCGCAGTGTGCAGTCTGTTAGCAGATGGCCGGGCCCCTGGGCAGCTGAGGCCGTTTCTGGGTGGAGCCCGGGGCACGGCCCTCCGGAAGACCGCGAAGGATGAGACAGAAGATGCCCGACCGGCGTGCTCAGGCGAGGCCATTCGGAGAGTTGTCGGAAAGGCCTTGTTGGCGACAGAGATAGACGCTTTACGAGTTCATCTCGAACCTCTGCAGCTGGCGGTCGGCGTGCGCGCCGGCGTCGAGGCCATGCCGCACCTGGCCCGGCAGTGGAAGCAGGACTTCGCGCACGACCTGGATCGGGTGTTGGTCAACAGCGACCAGGCGAATGCGCACAACGAGGTGGACCGACACACGTTCCTGACCCGGATGCGCGAGGTGGCCCCCGGCATCGTGCGATGGCTCGAGTTCATCTACCCCACGGACGTCCCCACGATGGTGTTCTACCGAGGGCGCATCATCGACAGCGAAAGTGGTGGGCAGCAAGGATGCCCACTGATTGGCGCTTGCCACGCGATGGTGCAGAGGATGCTGTTCGAGTCTCTGGGGCTCGTGCCGGTTCCGACGTGCACAGCAGTCCAGCTGCCCGTCCTCGAGCCTCCGGCGCGTCTGGACATGGCCCCCGGCTTCGCTGACGACGCCCTCGTCGCAGGCCCGTCCAATGAGGTGCTGCGGGCAATCGCACACCTGAAGGCGGTGATGCCCGCAGTCGGCCTTCGCTTCTCGACGCTGCAAGTGGTCCCGGCCGCTGGGGCTCGGAGCACGATCGACGCCGCCCCGTTCGTAGAGCTGGGGTGCGTGGTTTTCCAGGACGGCAACTGCGAGGTGCTGAAATCTCCTGTCGGAGAGGAGGAGTACTGCAAAGCCTTCTGCGCGCGCCAGGCCAGGAAGCAGGGAGGCATCCTATCGTTCCTGGCGGAGCTTGGAGACCCCCAGGTCACGCATTACCTGCTGAGGCAATGCGTCAACGCTGGAAGGATGACCTACCTGGCTCGCACCACCCCAGCTGTGGTGCTGCGGGACGCCGCCGCCCGTTACGACGAGGAGGTGGTGGACGCGGCCGCCGTGGCGGTGGGCCAGCGTTGGACAGAGTTGCAGAGGAGGCAGGCCGCCTTCGCTACCTCCGCGGCCGGGCTTGGGCTGAGGCGCATCTCGATGGAGATGGACGCCGCGTACGTGGCGTCGCGGGCGGCCACCCACGACCTGTGCGAGCGCATCCGGCCTGGGCACCGGTGGGACGACGGCGCGCCGGGCAGGCCTCTGGCGGACGCCGCGGCCAAGTTGGCAGCCACCTTGGGCCGCGACGCCCGCGGGGTGGCGACCCGGGCAGAGTTGACCCAGGCCTACCTGGGAGGTAAGCTGCGGAGCAAGGCAGTCGAGGCATGGCGTGAGGAGAGACAGCCAGCCGACGGGGTTCGATTGAGCGCGCACTCAGCGCAGGGAGCGGGGACTCGGTACGAGCTCACCCCATCCAGGACACTTGACA